TCTACATTGTTTTTAGTTCCTAGTGCTTGAATAAAAATATTATCTACACTGTATGCTCTGAATTACAGTTTTATCCTTGCAGTTACTTGATTTGGGGGGAGGGGGAATATCAAAATATAGACTTGTTCATTTGTTGCTTGAAATATTAGAGTACATAGAAATACGCAACAGTAGTAACAGTGGTTAAGAGTTTTAGTAAGCTCACATATTTTCAAAACTGAATTTAGCGTTTTGTTTATTTTTCTGGCAAAAGATGTATGCTAGGTGACTGTTCCTGTTAATGTTCATTTAGGATGGTAAAGCTCCAATCCATCCCCAGCAAGATCAATGGCAAAAATTCTTTACATTCTTAGTGCCCCTGCTTAACAGCTAAATGAATTATAGGCTCCAGAAGAAAAGGTCTGTTGTGTTGCTGTACTTGTTGCTTTTCTTACATATATTGCTTATCTTATCCTTTAAATAGTTTGTTATTTTTGCATTTTGAATAATGACTTGATTACAATATTTAGTTAAATATTATTTACATAAACTTATACATTAATAACAAAGAGCTATCCTAGAAATATATTTTGAATTTTTCTGCTTCATTAACCTGTGCATGCTTTTCGAGGCATAAGCCCCATTCATTTCAATGGAATTTCCTTCTTATTTGACATACATGGCATTCCCAACACAAGTAAATGCACTTCTAATCCAGTTATAATCTACATAGAGAATTTATCTTGTTTTTAATATATCCTTGTGTTTCTTATAGTGTAAGTAAGAAATGGACTCAGACCTCAACATTGTGTAACTTTCCTTGCAACCATACAAAGGTGATTTGCAGTTGTTTTCTTTCAGCTAGGAGGTTTTTTTTTTTTTTAATTACCCAGTTCAACTCATAGTCTTGGAATTTCCTAACTGCCTCCCTTCCAAGTATTACATAGGGTTGACCCTACTTAGTTTCAAAGATCAGGCAACCACAGCTATCTGCTGCCACCTGCTGATCAATCCTCACACTGGCAGGGATAATGGGTATGAAAAGGGATGACTTTTATATAGGGAAATACCCTTTTCTAAATTGTGGAATAATCCGCCACACCATTTTATTTAACATCCCATTTTATCTTATGCCTTTTATTTAAAAGTATAAAAATATACTGTTACCATAACCTTAAATACAAAAAAATGTGTTGTTTTATAAATTGAAATGTGTTTTTCCCCAAAAAGTTTGCTTTCCTCCCTGCTAATCTACACTTCAAAACCATTTAAATATATTACGAGTACAAACTAAGATTCTAGCTTTGTTTGTATGTAATGGAAACCAATATAACAAATGAAAAAAGTCATTACATTTGGCCAGCAGAAGTGAAGTTTTCCACACTCCTAATCTCATATTATTTATTTTCTTTTTTTATCCTAGACAGGGTTTGATAAGGTTCTAGTTCTCATAATTTTTTTTTAACAAATTTTATTCAGTTTTTCACATTAAAAACAAAAATCTCTTTTTAGTGGACAACATATTTCCAGGTTATCACCTTTACATACAAATATGACAGCAATTATACATTCATATATGCATACTTAATTCTATTATTACCTTTTCCATTCCAAATTTTCAGTAAGGAGAGAAACAAACACATTAATTCTAGCCTCTGTCATTAATCTCAATCGAAACAATTTTTTGTTTCATTTCAATTATTTCAAATATAATCCTTTAATATTTATTTTAAAAATAAACATAAACAATATGTTTGCATAATAATAATAATAATAATAATAATAATAATAATAATAATAATAATAATAATAATAATAATAATAAAGTTACCAATGTCTCTCCTTGCTTTTAATAGTCTATGTTAACTTATTAATTTAGTTGGTTCTTTAGTCTGTCATATTCCCTTTCCATTACACATTCTTTTTATAAATTCTAGATTAATACAAATTTTAACACTAAAAAAAGAGAAAAAAGTATAGGTTTCCCCCCTTTTACTGCTTTGAGTGTGATACCTCAATGATTAAAATATACCTTTATTCCCTCATCTTGATTCCCAATAAACCAATTTTTTTAAGAAGTTACAATAATAATCATTACATGTTTTCATTTGGATTCTGCAGCATATTTTCCCCCCTTGATTTTTAATAAGATTTATCAGTGTCTATATTACCCTATTTTCTAAATATTTTTAATTGCAGAAATATTCTTATTACCCCGTCATCCCGCAGAATCCCCTTTTTAATTCATCAACCATTATCTCTGAAAAAGCAATTTCTTTTCAACATTTTACTATTTCTGTATTTCTTTATTTCATGCACCTGTTTCTTACTGCTTCTCCTCCCCCTTTTTCCCCCATATCTTTTCTCATTCCAGTTTATATCCCTCTCTTTCTTAATATCTTCCTTTCCCCGTTTCTGCTGGGTCTTTCTGCCTTTCCCGACTTCACAGGTATTCCCTTTGATTGCCTTCTTAAATCTCAACTTTTTAACCTTCCTTCTTTCCCCACTTCTTTGTAGCGTTCTTTGTGTTAATTGCCTATTTAAAATGTCTTCTCCTTGAGTCGACTCCTCCTCCTCTGAAGCTCTTTCTTCTTGTTCTTCAATTGCCATTTCCATTTTTTCTAACACAGAGCAAAGTGATTCGCCTCTTTCCTGTAGTAATTCTCTCATATTTTTAAGTTCCATTTTTAATTCCCGAAGAGATATCATCATTACACACTCTTATATTTTATGATCGTTAAAGTCCACAAAAAAAAACAAACAAAAAAAACCTTTTACCTTTCTTCTTTCAATTTTCTAAAGTTCTCAGTTATTCCAGCCCAGGGTCTATACCCAAAACATCAATCAATCCCACAGTCAGTCTTTCCTTGCTTTTTCCTTTATTCTGGTTCTGCTTTCACTTTCTAAGATTCTTACTTTGTTTCAATATTTCTTTAATGTTATATCTACACAAGTTCATTCAGAAACAGGATGCTTTCTGTTTTGTTTGAGCTCAAGTTTTTATCAAAAGGTGGCAGTCTCCATTATACAAAGTCTTCACCTTTCCCCCCTCTTTTTTATTTAGGGTTTTTCGAACCTCAATATTCCAGCACAGTCCAGTCTCCAATTTGTAAACGTTATTATTATTATTTTTTGGCAATCTTAAGTCCAGCTTTATTTTATGCCTGTTTATTCCCAAAACATTTTAGTCCAATTTAATTAAATCTTTAGTCCCAGTTTCTTCCTTTCGCGGTTCGAAGCCCCGCTTAGCTGTCAAATTTTTTTTTTTCCTGTCCCTTTGTAATTTCGCTGCTCACTTTTCTTTTCTTAAAAAATTCATGTTACCTTAATCCTGGGGTACTTTTGTTTAGTTGTATTGCCTAGTTGTCCCGATTCAGATGTTATCCACCTCTTTCTTCCCTCCTGCACAAATCTTAATCCAGCTGAGTCCTTCTCTTCGGGGTGGCCATTTTAAACCACCGCTGCAGTCGTCTTCGGGGGGGAAAAGACCAAGCCCAGGGGGGAGATGCGGCTCCCCTCAACCTGGCTTGCGGTTTCCCCTTACTCCGCCCCCCCTCTAAGGAAGCTTCAGCCCCTAATCGTAATGATCGGGGCTCTCCAATGAAAGAGCACGAACCATAGCAGCAGAGAGTCACGAACTACGGTCTATCAGCGAGGAGGCTCTGCCTTCTTCCTAGTTCTCATAATTTTCAATACACTTTTGGAAGTTTTCAGAAAGATATTATACACTTTGTGTTTTCTAGCTTTGTACAAAGTCAAACTCTGTAACGTGGCTGGATATGTAAAGAAACCTCTTTGGAGTGTTAAAGCAGCTTCGCATTTCACTTCGCTGTTTTAAAGTCTAGCTCTGGTATGCAGTGAAAGTGTGCTAAATATCTACCTACTTCTGAATATATAACCAGTTTTTCCTTAAATTTACATCATGTTCTTAATTGTAGTGTCTGCAACTCTTCCACAAATACAGCAATTATATACTCTTGTTTTTCATCTTCACAGATTCAAGCAGAGTAGTATCTCTATATCTATCTATCTATCTATCTATCTATCTATCTATCTATCTATCTATCACAATAATAATAAGTTTAGTTTTGTCATTGAAAGGCTTGCATGATTTGCTTATTTATCTTTAAAAAAAGAGAATGTTGATTTCTTAAGTGTGGAAGTTAGACTTCTTTTGATTACATATATCAAATAATAGTTTCCCTAACATTCATAGTAACAAATGTTTTTGTCTAACATTTCCCTACAAATTTATTAGGTTAAAAAATATATAATGAACTAGAAATATTCCAGCGCATCATATTTTTTACTCACCATTTTAGCTTGTCTTTCTTTTCTTTAAACCAGGGCTGACAACCTTTCATTTTCATTAAGCACTTGATATTTTGGGACCAAGGGGCATGGGACAATGGGCACGGTAAGGATACATAATGCGTAAATATGTGGACGGGTCCATGATGGGGAGGTGGAAGTCATGAGTATGTTTTTCTTTAGGAAATTGTGTTAAGCCTTTTTAAAAAACAACAACAAAAAACCATCTTTCATGAACCTTGTTATTTAAGTGGTTCTGTCTCTTAAATCTATGTAAGATTTACATGCAATATTATTTCCTAATACTATTTTTGAGAATTTGTCAAGATGCAATGCAGTTCATGGGGAAAAGGTAAGAAAACCTGCTTATTAAAAAAAGAAAATCTTCTAAATTTGAAGCTGCCATATATCTGCCTCAAATTTCAGTTGAATGGAATTAGTTGGTGACACTTTAGTTTGGTCTGAGGATCTAGCCACTGGAGCGTCAAACTGAGGTGCAAAATAAACAAATGTCCTATGTAATCATCCAGTCCTCATTGATCTCGATGTTTTATGCATGAGAGGGGACGATTAAAAGTGTCTGGAAGAGTTATGGTGAATGTTCTTTACTAAATTACAGTTTGCTTCATTATCCAATGGAAAGTGAAGGGGAACCTTCTAGCTGACAAAAACAATAACAGTCACACTTAAAAAAAAAAAAAGCTGCTTACCGGTGGTGTGCCGAAAATATAGAACGATGAACCTTTCAGTGCCAGGAACTTGAATGTATACAGTTGGGGGGAGTCTTCTCCCTGGAGCCTCTCATTCACCCACCCCATATGTATCACCTTCAGTGAACAAAAATGTTTACAAATTAATTTCAATTTACTATGCCAGGGGTAAAATATAACTATTCCTGTAGAGCATCTGGTCAATATGTTTTTCACGCATAGATCTATATGCTTTGTCCATAAATTCTGATCCAGCACCTTAAAGTTATTGTAGATATTATAGCAAAGAAATTGCCCCAATTTTAAGGAATGTGCATAATCCTACAATCATGGGAAACTGAACAAACACAGAACAGCAAGACAGATTTGGAGGCAGAAATATACGTATGTTATAGCTACAGAACAGGCGAGGCCAAGTTAAAGCACTTGTGTTGTATGATTAACACATACAAGGACCTAGTTTTATTATTTCTTTAATGAAGAACATTCCATGGGAACTTAAAGTTTTTAGTTCAAAATCGGAATATCATAATATTGGAAAATCTCAGGGGGATCTTCAGCTGATACAACATACGTGGACACTACAAACCCAATAATACATTAAGGCAGAAGCTTATCCACCCAGACACAAAAACCCAGGCACAAACTGAGCAATGTGGTATATGCAGTACAGTGCAGTGAGCCATGTGCAGATCTGTACATTGGGAAAACAAAATAACTACTTCATAAATGCATGGCACAACATAGGAGAACAAATCGATCAGGACAAAATTCAGCAGTCCATCTGCATTTAAAAGACAAAGGCCACTCTTTTGAAGACAGCAAAATTCACATTTTGGACAGAGTGGATCGCTGGTTTGAAAGAGGGTCAAAGAGGCCATCTATGTCAAAATTAATTCTCTCAACAGAGGGGGAGGGATGCAACATCATCTATCTCAAGTCTACAACACAGTCCTTTCAACAATTCCAAGAAGGCTCCACACCCATTTGCACTACTCAGATGACCCTGATGACACAGATAAACCTCCAGGTGGCCTCAATGACTCTCTAAAAGAATGCAAATGACCAGCTGTCTGGAAGGAGTATTCTCCACCATCCAGTCAGAGCTGAAAAAACTTCTTGGATGAGAAGTGAAACATCTTCAAAGAAAAACCAGAAAGTCCAGTTGCCTCTTGAAAACGCACCTTTGGGGCAACCGTGACCTGGACGACTGAGAATCTCCATAGACATTTTTGTCCAATATTCTACAAATCAACTGCCCACCCAAAAACACAGACTATTATTAGTTTTGAATGCAGAGAAGAATTGGCCACAGATCCATCACTTAAGTCACACATCACACATATGAATTCAAATTAGAAAAAAACTTTTAGAATGTACAGAACTGTTTGATGTGAGCAGTCTTCCTTATAAAGTAGACCAGATCAAGAAAGAGGAAGATTCAAAATTACTTTTATTTATATTGGCTATACTGACATAATCTTGCAACTATGATTGTACTTCCCATCCTCCCTCTTTTATATTTAACTCTGCAATGTTTTAGTAATCCTCCTTCATCCTTTAGACTTAAGCAATGTATCCTTTTGGGTTGCTTTGATAATGGATCTTCTTATCTCATCGTCATTTTCTTTACTCTCCACATGAGCAGCCATGTTCTCCATCTGTACTACACACACAGTCACAACTTCTGTCAAACCCCTTCAGTTCTGCACCGATAAAGCAGATCTGAAGGCACAGTGAAGGTGGGTTGAATGAATTTAGAGAGAACAATTCAAGGAACTCTAGCTCTTCTTTATTATGGTTTGTATGATTCACACATTCAACCAAACTGCAAGCTTCATAAAGTGACCCAGAAGAGTTGCCCTTTCTTCCAAAGAATGAATTTCTTTAGGAATTCAGTCTATAGTGCTGGATAAGGACTGATAGCTCTGTCCTTGGGGCCAATCAGCATAGCTCCAGCTATGCTGGAGTATCTGGTGTTGCTGGGGTTGCCAATACTTTTGTGCAATGGATATGGATCAGAAGAACCACAACCATTTGGCCAGCTCATAGCAAAGCTTGTCACTATTCATGGGTATAAACATTTGGGGGAAAGACCACACTCTTTAGATCAGGGGTGTCAAACTTACATCATCAAGCTGACATCATGTGACGTATCGGGACTTTTCCCCCCTTAACTAAACCGGGCACGGGAGGGATCAGCATGTGACACATCTGGCCCATGGGCTGTGAGTTTGACACCCCTGCTTCAGATGGATTCTGTCAGGCCAGAAATAAACATCTGTCCCAATTAAATGATATTGCACAGTCTGACTATAGAAACAGCATTTAGAGAAAGTAACAATATTTCTAATGGCATTGAAGGGCTGGGGAAAATATGAGTGATGATAACGTCTTCATTCAAGTTGAAGATTAAGACCAACCTTGAAAAGAAAGAAGTGTCTGGAGAAGGAATTTTAGTCCCTATGAAAAATAGCAGTGGGTCTCTTTATAAGGCACATTCTCCTGCTTGACAACCTGACACAGTTTTTGTTTCAGACTTTAGTAGATGCATCAGTCTTATCAGATGTTGTTATATAACTTGTTAAGTGAGGAAGAAGGTCTTGATAGACATGAAATTTATGAAGCCAAATGACACAAGCTGCTTATCAGACCCCTGGCAGAAGATTCAGAAATGAGAGAGAACAGCAAGGACCAAAGCTGAAGAGGCGCCCAAAATGACTTTATCAAGATTGACTGGGCAGTTGCCCTGAAAAATTACAGTTAAACTAGGGAGAGTTGAATAGTCATCAGTTAGGGTCAGCTAATGGGCAGTGTACCCAAAGTGCCTAAACTAATCAGAAGCTGGACCTACCAAACTTTTGTAAAAGGTCCTTGAGCACTCAATTCTTTGGAGGGACTCAGGTGCTGAACACAGGGTGTTTTTTTTTCCTCCTCATCTGCAGTTGCAATTTTGCTTAGACTTCTTTGTTTATTGTTTTTGGTTGTCATTTGTGTGGCCAAGTAGAAACTGACAGAATAAAAAGCACAGATACCTATTCTGGATTTTTGTGCTTTTGAGAGCCAGATCACCAAAGCCAGAGAAAGACTTATATGGTAAAATGGAAATGACTAAGGAGTTGCAGCTACAGTATCAACAAGAACGTTCCAGAGATGTACAATTGCCACTAAATATATTTATGTAAGCCTATTAAAGGAATCTAAAATCCCAGCTCTTCCCAAACTTGTCCTGCAAATGTTGAAGGTTCGAAGCAAGTTTCGGTTGGATTTCGGGGAAAAGTGTAATTCTCACAGACTTTCCCAGTCTTAGGATATAATTCATTTTTGGCTTCTAGATGTCATGTATCTTAGTCTAAGTGACACGAGAGATCATCCTAGTCCATGGGTCACTGATTCTAGGAGTTGGCTAAATAAATTCACATGTAAAGACTGGGCACATTTTGTTAGGTCAAACTCTGCCCAAATGACAGGTTAAAAAAAAAAAAAAGAAAAGCTTCCATTTTTGTTTAGAAGTTTACATGTTGAAGTTTCAATGTAATTTTGAGTTCACCTACCATTAAGAATAATTAAATACCTAGAAAAGAGAGCTGTATAATTCCCCAAGAGGAATGTTTTCAACTACTGTACTTTGTTGAAGAAGTTAGATTTCCTGGCATCTCCTTATAGATATCATAGAAGTCATATAGAATAGATAGTTTGGAATGCAGTTAGCAAAGAAGTCAATCTGCAAACTCTGGGAACTAGAACATGAAAACTTAATTATGGAAGTGAGATGGGTGGTACCTAAATTTGATAAATAAAAAAATAAAAAAGACTATAGTGAAAAAAAAATACAAAGTAGGAAAGTCCTTACTTGCATATAAGAGACTATCTGTACTGGAAACAGTTAATCTATGGAACAAGAATCCAAGAATTCTAGTTAATAGTAAAAGGAAGGTAAAGGTTGTAACATGAGACTTGCAGAAAAATATCTACTTTCAGGCAAAATCTCTGTAATAAAAGCAGAACATTTCCCTTTGCTTTTCTCCAACTTTTTCTTTGCAGAGGACTGGACACCTGCCCCACTTTGATACCTTTTAAAAAATTTTATCAAGATGAAAAGTATCTCCTCTTTGTGTCACTAGAACTAGTCCTTCCTTCCTTCCTTCCTTGAATGTCACCATCCCACACATCCCCATTGCAAAAATCAGAAGAGAAAGAATTATTTCCTACCAAGAAGTTCTGCTGAATGTCAGCGACAACATTATGATGCACCATCATTCTGGACAAGCACTTCATCCCAATCTTGATCACTCCCCCTAAGACTCAAGAGTGAGTAGGCAGTGGGAAAGTGTTTATGCCAGCTTGAGAATCAGGGGAAGACAGAAAATATTTAATTCAGCCTCTAGATAAGGCTCCACCGGTTCAGAAATTGCTTTGGCTCTAAAACTCTTTTTGAATTCCATGTGTATGCCCGAAGAGCAGTTGGTAAGGAAAATGCAGCATTTCAGGGAGAGCTATCTTGAAGTCTTTATTATACCTAGTAACCTATATTATTTCCAGGATTTCTTAATTTTATTACATTGTAATCAAAGACTAAACACATCCATCCTGTTTATCTGACTATTTACATAAACTGTGACAACTACTATTTGTGAACTTGTATTCTAAAACTGGAGTTGGCTGCTCAGATGATGCTTTGAGGAGCTGATTTGCAGAAAGTAACTATCATGGCTGCATTAGTACCTGAGGGTTATCCCTAATGCATATTATTGACAACAATTAATTATCTTTTGATAATCTGAAGTGAAAAAGTATCTGGCTGAAAACTGAAATTCATATTTAAAATGAGATTTATATGTATATTAAGATGAGATCAGTCATCAAGTATCTTTTAATCTGATATTTGATTAACAATGAGCTTGGAAGAAGTAATATTGGACATAAATACTCCAAGGTTTCTATAGTTTCTTTCCATAGTGGTCATGTCTTCATTTGGAAGTTATCCATGGGTTTAACATGTCTGCCTCAACATATGCAATATATAAGTACTCCAACATCATTTGCCTTGCCTGCATATGTAGCCTCTATTCTGCCTCAGGATGATACTATTTTGGGAAAGTTGAGGTTTAGCATTT